CACAGGAAGGCACTTATTTCTGCACACGTGACCCAGATTCAGCTGACAGTGGGCTAAAGAGTGCTGTTGGTTGACATCACAGAGTCAGTGCAGGCATCCCGATGAGTGATTGGCAGCTGAGAGCCTAAACCAGCCTCTCCTGCCCCCTCCACAGATCAGAGCTCCAGTGAGCGCTGGAGGGGTACAGCACAAAGCAGTTATTGACCGTCACCACTTTGGGCTCACAGTGCACCTGAGAACTGAGCGATCAGCGGTCCCGCAGTTCTCAGTGTAAAGCCAGCGGGGGACAGCTGAAGCATGGGCATCTAGGAGAGTATGATTAATCCTTTTTTTACATTCCTGCACTTCTCTTTTAACTACTTTCTGCCTACAGTACATATACTGTGGGCTGGTGGCACGGGTAGACTGGATCATGTAAATGTTAGTCATCCTGCTTGCCCGTGTCAGGGGTGCAGATGCGGGTGCAGATGCGCGTGCCCGCTGCTGAATCTCGCTGTCACTGGCTACAGCGGGATATTGTCAGCAGGTCCCGGCCTTAGATTTATTATTATTCATAATAATCCCGTAATCTTCGCTCCTCACAAGACCTCCTACTTTCTAGCTCCCTGGTCTCCACCTCCCACGCCTGACTGCAGGACATCTCCAGGACTTCCCCCATCCTCTGGAACTCACTACCCCAATCCATCAGACTGTCACCTACCCTCCTCACCTTTAGGCACACCCTGAAAACTCATCTCTTCAGGGAAGCCTACCCCGCCCTCACCTAACAGCCGATCTCCTCCACGCCTCCTACCACTCCATCCCCCACAGCCACTTCCTCCTGTACCACTATCCCCTCCCTCCTAGATTGTAAGCTCGAAAGAGCAGGGCCCTTGACCCCCTTGTGGTTTGTTTTGTTACTGTATTGTCTCATGTTCTGTCCCCCACTATAATGTACAGCGCTGAGCAAACCTTTTAGCACTATATAAAAACTGTATAATAATAATAATAATAATTATTATTTGATTATTATACAGGATTTATATAGTGCCAAGAGTTTACACAGATCTTTACAACGTGACAGCAGACAGTACAATTCAATATAGTAGGAAACAGAGGGCCCTGTCTGTTAGAGCTTACAATCTAAAAAGGAAGATCAATTGATACAAAAGGTAATAACTGTGGGGGATGAGCTAATAAAGAAAAAAAAAGTACAGATACTAGGTTTGTGCAGGAAAGGCTGAGATTTATGGCTGAGACCTGCTCATTGGCTGTAGCCAATCACAGAACAGAGTCCTGTGTTTACAAACACAGGGCTCTGTGCACAGATCAGCAATCTGGCTGTTTCTTCAGGGAGAAAAAACAACCACATCTATTTGTAAAAGCAGCATGTTACACATATTACATTTGTTGGCACTCAGTTAACCCCTTCTCAGCCAGTGTCATTAGTGCAGTGACAGTGTACAGTATTATATCTGATCGCTGTATGGCCTCTTGCACATGCAGCTTGAAAAAAAATTTACAATGTGCCTGAACTGGGTGTGCGTAAACAAGTGATGCATATTCTTGAAAAAGAAAAAAAAAAATGCAATTACCCGCATATGAGCATAAACGTGGATTTTGCATAGGAATGTATTGTACACAGGAATGTGCATTTACGCAAATACGTGTGAATACAAGCGCGAATGCTCGCAAAACAAATGTCTGAAATTACATCCACAAATACTTATGCTCAAACATCAGTACCATTTGCAAAAGGCTTATTAGTGTCACTGGTGATGTCCATGTCAGTCAGTTAGGTCGGCCATACATGGGTCGAAAATCGACCAATTTTTTGTTCGAAAATCGGGCCTAAGAATAATCAGCCGATTTTCGCTCTGTTAGTGGGTCAATGGCACCGGACGATTTTTTTGGTTCCTCCCCTTTTCGATGATCGGGCATGTTGGAAAATTCGTGAAAAACGGCCAAATTTCAACTCAACCAACGATGGTCAAATCGTACGATCGTTTTTCCAAAAAGAATATGCACATGAGCCGTGACCTGGAAGGAACAGAAGTTTTACATGTTATATGGGGTGAACTTTATGACTTGGTCGGCCGATTTTCGAAATCAATGATGGCACCATCGGATTACCGAGCGAACGACGTTTCCGATTTTTGGGCCATGTATGGCTTGCATTAGTGTACCTCCCAGCAATTTTTATTTTACCAAATACATGTAGTAGAACACATTTTGGCCTAGATTTATGAAGAAATTTTTATTTTTCACTGGGTATGTTTTATAACAGATAGAAGATAGTGTTTTTTTTTACAAACTTTTTTGTTTATATAATAATAATAATAATAGAAAAACCCAGTGGTGATCAAATACCACCAAAAGAAAGTTCTCTGTGTGAGAGAAAAAAATGATATCAATTTATTTTTTTTCAATTACAGTACTGCATGACAGAGCATTTGCAGTTAAAGCAGTGCTGTGCTGATTAGCGAAAAAATGCCATGGTCAAGAAGGTATTAAAACCTTCTAGAGGTCAAGTGGTCAAACTGGCTAGACCAGCAATGGGCAAACTACGGCCCGCGGGCCGTATACGGCCCGGCGGACCTTTTAATCCGGCCCGCGGAGCTAGGCTCCCGCTAGGCTCCTCTCACAGTCCGCCCTGAAGACCGGTGTAGCATGAAAATCTGTCTCCTATGAGGATTTGTTCCCTCGACGTATCTGCGCATGTGCCGGAGATCGCCGATCGGCTGCTAATGCCTGAAACTGGCACATGCGCAGATACGTCGAGGGGGACAGATCCTCATAGGAGACAGATTTTCATGCTACACCGGAACGGTGTGGGAAAGGGCGAGAGGAACGCGCGGAGAATTAAAAGGTAAGTGAATTGACACATGGGGGGACTTGGGGACTTAATATGGGGGATGAAATTAATATGGGGAATGAATTACTATATGGGGGGTATGAATAACTATGGGGGGAATTACTATATGGGGGATGAATTACTATAGGTGAATTACTATATGGGGGATGAATTACTACTATGGGGGATGAATTAGTATATGGGGGATGAATTACTATGGGGGATGAATTACTATATAGGGGGGGGTAAATTACTATATATGGGGGGTGAATTACTATATGGGGGATTAATTACTATGGGGGATGAATTACTATATGGGGGATGAATTACTATATGGGGGATGAATTACTATATGGGGGATGAATTACTATGGGGGATGAATTAATGAATTACTATATGGGGATGAATGAATTATGAATTACTATATGGGGGATGAATTACTATATGGGGGATGAATTACTATGGGGGGGGATGAATTACTATAGGGGGGATGAATTAATGGGGGATGAATTACTATATGGGGGATGAATTACTATTACTATGGGGGATGAATTACTATATGGGGGATGAATTACTATATAGGGGGGGATGAATTACTATGGGGGATGAATTACTATGGGGGATGAATTACTATGGGGGATGAATTACTATATGGGGGATGAATTACTATGCTTACTATGGGGGAATATTACTATACTTACTATGGATGACACATACACATCATTCATCTACTCTTGGTCCGGCCCCCGGGTCCATTATATGAACCCATTGCAGCCCTCAAGTCAAAAAGTTTGCCCACCCCTGGGCTAGACCATATTATGTTCTGTTCCAGTGATAAAAATCCAGGATTGGGTTTAAATATTAATACATTCCCGCCCAGCCTATAGCAGATTGACAGCTGGGTGGATTGTTTCATATGATGTCCTCTCAGGAGGCGCCACTCACACAGCCGTGCAGTGGTGTGCGATCTGTCACCGATGACTGATCACTACACCAGCCCACTGTCAGTGTCATGTGATCACTGTGCCCAATAACAGCAGATCTCATGACAATTGTAAACAAGGGATGACTTCCTTTCATGCCATACATTGCGTTGTTAGCTGTGATTGTCACAGTGATCACATGGTACAGACAAGGCCAATCATAACCCATCTATACCATGTGATTAGCTCTGGCCAATCATAGATAATCTCAACAAAAGACACTGAATGAATCTGTTTCATTCAGTAAAAATGGTCTCTTAGATTAATGAAATTCATTGGGATAAGCAAAAAAAACAAAGCGTGATTACTTCTCCAGAGTAGTACAGTGTTACTATGGTAACACGGTATTGCCTTGGTCACAGTGTGTAAAAAATAATTTTTTTTTTCTAATATTTTTTTTAACATACTGACAAAAAAAATTACAATTTCAAAAAACTCTCCTGGCATTTTCGGGCCTCAAGAAATGAAATAGGCCACCAGTACATCAGGAATGATCGATTTTCAGAGACTTTTTATATATATATATATATATATATATATATATACACACACACACACACACACACACACACACACCATAGATTTTGGACTCTATAGCTTTCCTACAGGCTAAATAATATACATTGATTTGGGCTATTTTCAGCAAAGAAATGTAGCAGAATACATTTTGGCCTAAATTTATGAATTGCTAAATTTTATAACAAACAAAGAAAAACACTTTTTTTTTTTCAAAACTTTCTGTATTTTTTATTTATTTAGCAAAAAAAAAACTCAGTGGTGTTTAAACAGAAAAGCTCTATTTGTGTAAAAAGAAATTATAAAAATTTCATATTGGTAGTGTTGCATGACGGTGCAATTGTCAAAGTGCAACAGTGCTGAAAGCTGAAAAGTGCCCGGTATTGAAGTGGTTAATATATATCTTTGAAATTTTAAGAAATTCAAGGGGTGAAGGGAGTAAAAAATGGCAGATGTTAGAATCCAGGCACCTTGGTTACTGGAACTCTGCAAATGTTGATACATAACTCCTACAGACAGAAATTCAAGTACAACAAACCAAGCATGCACACTAGACAACAGAAAGGAAATAATTGGTTACCCTTTTGGGCCTTTGCTGTGATTTCAAAATATTTAACCGTTAGGTCCTGAATAGAAAGGACGGCCATGTGAGCCTTCTTTTGCCAATCTGCATCTTCTTTTTTCAGGCTCTCAATTCTTCTAGGGCCTAAATAATCGTTCTCTATGGAAATCTGAAAATAAAAGCACATATTGGAATGAAAGAACTGAAAATTGTAAGGATGTGGAGGGTAAGCAGTCTTAATTACACTCAGCACAGAATTCTAGATTCCTTGCTCATTTATAGCATCGTGACCAGCGATTATGGCTCATTGTGCAGTGATCTGTTAACCAAACACTTTCATTTTTACAGATACATGCAAAGTTCAGATATTTAGTGCTCAGTGCAATAATCTGTAATTTACCAATTGAGAAACAGTTCAAACATAATGTATTGATATAGGGCAAATTCATTTTAACTGAACACTTGTCTATTTATGCTGAGAAAGAGCTGTAAAAGATGAATTGAATAGAAATGGGCTGCCTAGAATTCTATGCTAGAACAGCTCCCTTCTTCTCTCCATGTCATTAACTGTCCTGCAGACATTTGGCTTACCCTCCCCTGGTGTGTTATCAATATACAGGTGAAACTTAAAAAATTAGAATAATCGTGCAAAAGTTCATGTATTTCAGTAATGCATCTTAAAAGGTGAAACTAATATATGAGATAGACTCATTACATGCAAAGAAAGATAGTTCAAGCCCTGATTTGTCATAATTGTGATGATTATGGCTTACAGCTCATGAAAACCCAAATCCACAATCTCAGAAAATTAGAATATTGTGAAAAGGTGCAATATTCTCGGCTCCAAGATTCCCACTCTAATCAGCTAATTAAGCCAGAACACCTGTAAAGGGTTCCTGAGCCTTTAAATGGTCTCTCAGTCTGGTTCACTAGGAATCACAATCATGGGAAATACTGCTGACCTGACAGTTGTGCAGAAAACCATCGACACCCCCCATAAGGAGGGAAAGCCTCAAAAGGTAATTGCAAAAGAAGTTGGATGTTCCCAAAGTGCTGTATCAAAGCACATTAATAGAAAGTTATGTGAAAGGGAAAAGTGTGGAAGAAAAAGGTGCACAAGCAGTAGGGATGACCGCAGCCTGGAGAGGATTGTCAGGAAAAGGCCATTCAAAAGCATTGGGGACTTTCACAAGGAGTGGACTGAGGCTGGAGTCAGTGCATCAAGAGCCACCACACACACACGGATGCTGGACATGGACTTCAAATGTCGTATTCCTCTTGTCAAGCCGCTCCTGAACAACAAACAATGTCAAAAGCGTCTTACCTGGGCTAAAGAAAGACAGACCTGGTCTGTTGCTCAGTGGTCCAAAGTCCTCTTTTCTGATGAGAGCAACTTTTTCATCTCATTTGGAAACCAAAGAACCAGAGTATGGAGGACGAATGGAGAGGCACACACTGCAAGATGCTTGAAGTCCAGTGTGAAGTTTCCACAGTCTGTGTTGATTTGGGTAGCCATGTCATCTGCTGGTGTTGGTCCACTGTGCTTCATTAAGTCCAGGGTCAACGCAGCTGTCTACGAGGAGATTTTGGAGCGCTTTATGCTTCCTTCCGCAGACGAGCTTTATGGGGATGCTGACTTCATTTTCCAGCAGGACTTGGCACCTGCCCACACTGCCAAAAGCACCAAAACCTGGTTCAATGACCGTGGGATTACTGTGCTTGATTGGCCAGCAAACTCGCCTGACCTGAACCCCATAGAGAATCTATGGGGCATTGCCCAGAGAAAGATGAGAGACATGAGACCGAACAATGCAGAAGAGCTGAAGGCCGCTATTGAAGCATCCTGGTCTTCCACAACACCTCAGCAGTGCCACAGGCTGATAGCTTCCATGCCACGCTGCATTGAGGCAGTAATTGCTGCAAAAGGGGCCCAAACCAAGTACACATGCATGCTTATACTTTTCAGAGGTCCGATATTGTTCTATGTACAATCCTTGTTTTATTGATTGCATATAATATTCTAACGGCTTGAACTATCTTGCTTTGCATGTAATGAGTCTATCGCATATATTAGTTTCACCTTTTAAGCTGCATTACTGAAATAAATGAACTTTTGCACGATATTCTAATTTTTCGAGTTTCACCTGTATATAATTAAATGCAGCATGGCTAGCAGAAAGTCAGTAGTCATTGAAAGGCATAGAGAGCTCTGTAAACTGGGTGGTGTTTTGCAGCAATGTGTGAAACACAAATCAGAAACCACCATACCATACCAACAGGGAATGTTTGAATATTTTATCTATACAAAATATTTATCATCTACCCTTTCCATAAGACACTTCCAGAATACAGCATGCTATTAGATTCCATGGCCCATATATCATACAGACCTTCCCTTCTGGATTCAAAAATGTCAGGACCTGCTATCACCCTACCCCTGCTTACGTCCCCACCTTATCTCAGCAGTCGCCAGCAGAGAGGAGACAGAACTCCTCCTCTAGATCCTGCATTTTCAATGCAGCAGCGGAGATGCTCGTCTCTGCCCCCCCATCAGTCGACAGCAGAGAGGACAAAACTCCTCGCTAGATCCTGTGCTTCTCCATGCAGTCACAGGGAGGCTCATCTCTGCTCCCCCCCCCCCCCCCAAAGAAAATCTCAGCAAATCTCCCTCTACAGATTCTGCACCTCTCTGTGCAGCTGCAGCACCCTCTCATCTCTGCCTCCCCTGGTCTCACAGACTCCAGCAACTTACTCCAGTCCTCCTCCAGACCCTTCAATTTCTGCATCTCAGCTCCCCCACCCCCAGCTTAATGCCGGAAGCAGCACAAGGTAAGAAGGGTGGACTGCGATGTAAGGGAGGGTGGGGGACTCTTGACATCTGAAGTAAGGGGGGGGTGCTCTGGCCATTTAGTTTCACAGATGCACCCGGCCTTTTGAGGGCGGGCATAATGCTGACGTGGTCTTGAGTTTGTCACCCCTCTACTATTAATTTGACAGTCGAAGTCCTGGTCCATGGAATACACAGCCTGTCAGCTTTCTGCACTGCCCACTGTAACAGTATGTTAGGGTTTCCTAAAATGTATTTTTTTTTTAGAAGCCATTTCTATTTAACCCCTTGGTTGACTCTTTAGTTTTCCCTAATTACCTACTTCCTTCTCTCCTTTAGTCTCCTAATATGCCCAGTGCTTTCCTACATCTAGTATACAGTATGCAAAATTCTATCTGTATTCTCCTGAACTGTGCCTACTTCAGTCTCCAATCACCAGTGGGCTGCAATAAAAGTGTACTCCACTCAATAAAGTAAATTACAAAGAAATCATAAAGGCTAGCGCTTTTTAACATACCAAAAAATATATAAATCATGTGCTCAATAGATATATACTTGCCAAAAATATTGGGACATCCCTCCAAATCATTGGATTCATGAGTTCCAATCACCTCCATGTCTACAGGTGTATAAAATCAAGCACCTAGGCATGCAGACTGCTTCTACAAACATTTGTGAAAGAAGGGATCGCTCTCAGGAGCTCAGTGAATTCCAGCGTGGTACCATGATAGGTTGCCATCTGTGCAATTAGTCCATCCATGAAATTTCCTTGCTACTAAATATTCCACAGTCAACGGTTAGTGGTATTAAAACAAAGTGGAAGCAACTGGGAACAACAGCAACCCTGCCATGAAGTGGTAGGCCACGTAAAATGACAGAGCGGGATCAGTGCATGCTGAAGCGCACAGAAGTCCCCAACTGTCTGCAGAGTCAGCAGCGAAAGACCTCCAAACTTTGTGTGGCCTTCAGATTGGCACAACAGTGCATAGAGAGCTTCATGGAATGGGTTTCCATGGCCCAGCAGCTGCATCCAAGCATTACATCACCAAGTGCAATGCAAACGTCGGATGCAGTGGTGTAAAGCAGGCCACCACTGGACTCGGAGCATTGGTGACATGTTCTCTGGAGTGACAAATCATGCTTCTCGATCTGGCAATCCGATGGACGTGTCTGGGTTTGGTGGTTGCCAGGAGAACGGTATTTGCAAAATTGCATTGTGTAAAGTTTGGTGGAGGTTGGATTATGGTGGGGGGTTGTCTTTCAGGGGTTGGGCTTGGCCCCTGATCCAGTGAAGGGAAATAGTTTCCAGTGAAGGGAACTCTTAAGGCGTCAACATACCAAGACATTTTGGACAATTTCATGCTCCCAACTTTGTGGGAACAGTTTGGGGATGGCCCCTTCCAACATGACTGCGCACCAGTGCACAAAGCAAGGTCCATAAAGACATGGCTAAGTGAGTTTGGGGTGGAGGAACGGGACGGGCCTTCAGAGAGTCCTTACATCAACCTGACAGAACACCTCTGGGATGAATTAGAGCGGAGACTGCCAGTCAGGCCTTCTCGTCCGACATCAGTGCCTGACCTCACAATTGTGCTTCTGGAATAATGGTCAAACATTCCCATAGACACACTCCTAAACCTTGTGGACAACCTTCCCAGAAGAGTTGAAGCTGTTATAGCTGCAAAGGGTGGACCAACTCAATATTGAACCCTACGGACTAAGACTGGGATGCCATTAACGTTCATGTGCGTGTAAAGGCAGGCGTCCCAATACTTTTGGCAATGTAGTGTGTGTATATATATATGTTCCATAATAGGTGTCCACATTCCCAAAAAAAACTGTGTAGATCCAGTATTAAATATACAATCCCCTCTGCTGTGTAATACACTTTTCAATCCGGTGCACCACTGTATCCAAAACTGAAAATTCACCACTGTGCTCCACCGTGATAAAACTGCACTCTCCACAAACACCAGTTGTGCTCTCACCTTGTTATTTGGACCTAATGGTTTGTAGGTCCAAATATTGCTTTTACTCACCAGGTGTTATTGTCACAATCTGTCCAGGTAAAGATAATCTGTCCTTCCCACTGAGGTTATACTGTCTCTCCCAAACTGGAACATCCACTCAAAATAAATGGTAGAAAGAGCTTATAGTGCTTACTGTACTAAAAGAATGTTATTCAAAACACAATGATAACACTTATATATTCTGTGTCTAAGACCGCCCACCTGTCTTGCACTACTGGCACCGCTCAGTACTCCGGATTCACTCCACAAAGACGCTGCCGGTGGCGTTGTGAGGGGGACTGGCATAATTAAGGTCTTCATGGCTACCACTTA